GCCTTACTGGAATCAGTGCAGGACCAGACGTGGTTATTGATCAACATGGCACATTTTTTGGTGCAGTTTTTACCATAATTAATTTAAACATAAGACTGTTGTTCTTGTCATCTAGATTTCCATAGATAACATGGAAATTAATTTTGGCCTGGGTTTAGCCACTACCTTAATCCAAATATATTGTGCAGATATTTATGTAAACTGCAAAAAAAAAAAAGACCTTTTTTTCCCCAATGTCAAGTTTTACTATCTATAGTTGTAGGTCAGAAAGATAACTAAAGTTGTTTTTGTATTTGGTAAATATCAGAATAATAAGAGTTTGTTTTGTTTTTTTTCTAAAAAAATGTGTTATTACGTTGCCTTTTCTACTTTATAACTTTGGGCAAACATTTTAGTTCTCCTGTCATAAGCTTCTCTCAGCAGTTTGCTTGGATTTAGTCCCATTCATTCTGACAGGCCTTGAATCAGGTTGTTGGTCAGATACATTTTCATCTCAACGACATTTTTATGGAATTAAGAGACTTTGAGTTTCAGCCTCTGTGTAACTAATTTGTTTTGTATTTCTAGAGCTGTCTGTTTGGAAAAAGACATTTCTGTCTAAGCTTTAACTTCCTGCCAGATGTCCAGAGATGTTGGTCCAATGTTGCCACATAATATTATTTGCCGTTTGATTTGTGCACCAGTCTCCCCTCTAGCAAAATGTCATCACAGGAAATACGTCACATTTTGAATTGTGTTGTTAAGCTTGTAATATTCTTTCCTTTTCCTCCAAATGTAACTATGATCATTATGGCCAAATATTTCAGCTTCAGTTCTATAAGAAAACCAGACACCTGTCCAAAAATTGGTTCTCTGAGTTAATTTTACAAAAGAGAATTTTGTTTTCTGTGTTGCTTCTGAAGTGATGGTTTCTTCCATTCTGAGCAGCTTTTCAGCTCATGTTGTTAGGGTTTCTATCACTGTGGATCAGCATGCTGCCTTTCTAGCTTCAGCCAGGACGATTGGGTGTTTTGTTTTGGTTCTGCTGTTGATACACATATTTTCCTCTGAAATGTGTGTATTGTTTTTTTTCCTCCTGTAGAGTGTGATCAGTGGGCATTCCAATGGTGTCTATACTTGTGTGCAATTGCTTGCCTAGATGGCTACATCAGATATCTGGATGAGGAAAAAAAAATGTCTACAGTTCTCTTTCTGATAGCGTAGCTGATTTCTTCTTATTTTTTTCATGATATCACACAAGGTAGCACCGTGTTTTGAGGTTTTGCCTTAAGACATCGACATGTATACCTCAAGAAAATGTCTTTATTAGATTATTCAATCTATTAAAAGCTTACATAACCATCATTGTGATACATACAGTTATCACAATGATACAAAGAGTTATGTATCACAATGATACATAACTGTATCACAATGATACAATTATGTATCACAATGATAAATAACTGTATGTATCATTGTGATACATACAGTTATCACAACATACAGTGTTTCAGTAGATTATTCCTAATAGAACATTACATAACGCAGGAAAACATAAATGTTTGACGTAACGTCAGACAGTGAGGAACAGAAATTTTCTTTGTCTCTTTGTACGGCGTATGTAAACATCTGATTTCAAATTTGTTCGGCAGTTTGATAGACAAATGCAAAAACAGCATGTAGAAATCCAGGTAATCCAGATTTTCAGAGTTTCAGAAAATTGTTCAGTTTTACTAGCTATCATTTGTAGTTGTTCCACACTAAGACTTTCCTAAAACAACAGTCACAGTTTCTGTAATTAATCTCGGGTTTTCCCCAGAAAGCGCTTGTTAAAAAGTCATTTATAAAACACATCTTATTTGGATGTATTTTGTATTTATCTGTTTTAATAAAGATATTATAGAAAGACTGATGTTTCACTCAATTTAAAACCTAGCTTGCATGTCAGTCATTGTTCCTTTGTGATCAACTAAGAACAACATCTGCCGACTCAGTTTTACTGTCTCTGAACTTTTGCATTCGCATGTAAAGTTTCAGTATGCATGTGTGTGTGTTTATGACTTTTCCATCTTTCCAACTCAGAGGTTTCTTAGGGAGGGGACTACTTAAAGCTGTTTTTTTTCTCTTCTGCTTGAAGCTCTGGAACTTATTACAGTCTGAGGCATTTTCATAAACAGGCCATTCAGCTGCCTCTGCACGGCTCTGAATGAGACTCAGTGTCACAAGGATAAAGAGAGTTAATGTGGGCTGGTTAGTCGCACGACCTCCCTATTACGGAAGCCTGCATTTGTAGACCATTTTGTGTTATATTAGTAGGGCTTTCAATTTTAAAAGATTGCAATGCAATTGCCACTGAATGTTTTCTGTGCACACTTTTAGGTACTTGGACGAGGTATTTTGCATGGCATATGACATGTATATGATCTATGCTGCTATTAATACAAAATTAAGAGCATCCAAATGGACACTATTTGGCGATTACAATGCATTTTTAAAGATGATTTCATTGCTGCCTGACTCATCAGGGTGAAAAGGAGCAAAAGTGACTCTAAACTGCACCTTGTGGTTTCTGTTTCATAAAACAACTTTTAAGTTTTTTGTGATTTTTAAATAAAACAGCGTAACATGTCACCAGGGATTACACACAGGCCATACCTCAATACATTACCCCAAGAATGCACACATAAGAGTGTTCTCATGAATTGGTTACAGTGGCTTAGTGATAGAATCGTAGTGCTATGATCTGAAGATGGACAGTTTTAATCCCTTCCAATGGTACCTGGCATTCTTCTAGGATGTATATATGTTGAACACTTGAGTAACATAAGCAGCAGAACTATTAAACGATCACCACTTGGTGAATTAAATCAGGTGTGTGAAGGGGGACAGGCTTTGTATGAACACTAAAATACGGCGGGACCCCGCAATCAAGAGAGTCTTTATCTCTTATGGAGGTGCGTTATATCAAAAAAATATTTAATTTCAAGTCTACTTTTAAAACCTGATGATGGCACTGATGATGTTTTACACGCATTTTGCTGGCACTTCTGGCATTAAATAAGTTCCCAACACCCCTCTAGAGCTTAAGCATCTCAGCCACTAATGATTTACTTCAGCCGAGGGGATTAAGGGCAATGAGTGTGCGTCCAACTGTTCAAATATATTAGCAATATCCAGGGAGCTTAAAAACCTGACACTTGAATATAGTATCCTACCAGATTTTGTCCAAGCAATCTTTTCAAAATGCAATATTTCACACGCTGATATTGCACCGATTGTTACTAGAGATGCAAATCTTTCTGTGTGTAGCGATTCAGTTCCAGTTTTAGGATCATGATTCGCTTTAAAAACAATTTTTAATTCAGAAATCAGTCGAAAGATTTTGTGTAATTTATGTGACTGACAAAAAGAAAATACTTTAAAAAAAAAACATTTATTTAAAATAATTCCATAAGGTACTGTATCAAATTCCATCAGTTTCTATTTAGTGAAAAATAGCTTTGTGCATACAATTTTGTAACTTAAACTGCCAGTATTAGATGTGCTTAGATGCCTGACTTTTTAAATAAAATAAAATAAAATATAAAAAAAATATTCAAAATATATTTTTTACAAAAAAATTAAGCAGACTAAAATCAATTTTTGAGCATGTTGATTCATCGATTTAGAATTGCCAGCACTATGAATTACGATTGTCTTTACAAACTACGATTGTCTTTACAAACTGCTTTTTCTTTTTCTTTTTTTTGCATCTCTAAATGTATTTAAGTGTATATTGCAATTGTACCATTCTACTGGTTTATTTGGGGAAAAACCTTTACCAACAAGTCAAATCAGATTACCATGGTATAAATGTATCCCAAAAAAAAACAGCCCTTGTGGTAGGAAGCCAGTAAATAACACAGAACCATGGGAGTGGTGTTCTGAATGGAGGCTTGTGGACCTTCCCTATTGTGGAAGTAGGAGTTGTCGATATGGACTGAAAGGTTTATCTCAATATCTTTTGGTACTACTGTGACAACAAAAGTGAAGATAAGAACTATTTATTACTACGTTTTTGGGTAACTGCATGTCTGTGACTGCATAGCAAAGCATTCCTAGCGTCACAAACACAAATACTGCTCTTGTTCTTTATGTCCTTCTTCAGGACATCAGTCACATAAAGAAGTATGATTTGTATCGCTAAAGTGCACAGACTAACTGCATGTAATAATTTTGTCCAAAATTATTTTTGTTTATTTATTTATACTACAAATAGTGAAGACAATAAACTAGCAATCCCTGCAATGTGGGTAAGTTTGGGGGATTTTACACAACTTTAAATCAAAATTCTTATGGCGATATGCAACAGTAAATAAATTATAACAATAAATGTCCATCCTTAGGTTAAAGATACTAACCCTTCTGTTTGTTAGGTCCCAGTTTAAGGTTTACAAGTTTTAGACGCATGTTTAAAAAGACTGTTTTACAGTGTCTATATATACATTAGTCAGCTAACAGTGGAAATAATAGCTCAGACTTCAGTGTTTGTGGTGGCTGGGAGTAAAGATTCTTGTGAAAGTAAGTGTTAAGAAATTTTAAACAGTATTTATTTATGTTTTTGTTGCAAGAAGGAGATTAAAACAACTTGGCTCCTTCATTGTCATGAAAGTGAATTATTGAATGAATGCGTGCTGGATCTTATTTGCCGTTTCCTCAAAAGTAATTTTTTTGCAGACGTGCCATATATAAAATCCCTGCTTACTATAATAAAGTTGTCGTGTCTTTAAGGAATTAAACTCCCAACAGCTGCACGCAAAGCAAAAATCTGAAAGGCAGAGCCGATTTGACCTGGAAAAGATTTTAATCTGCAGCTGAAGAACTCTGATGTTTGATGGGGATTATTATGTTTACCACTATATGAGTCTCAGCAAATATTGATACCATCTTGTTTTTCAACCTGCAACATCCGTATAATTAACTAATTTGTGCGTTGAAGTTTAATAAATATTCTGATTATTGGTGTCTTTATTTTGCAGGTTTACCAAGAAAGCGATAAGGTAAGACTTTTCTAAATAAATTGTCCTGTCAAGGCTTTCATAATTTTTAATTAGGTTGTCCTGCTGTAACTTTCACAGGTTTAGATTAAAGTTTTACTTGTCTTGCTGTGTTATAACATAGAAGCCTTTAACATTTGGACCAAACATCCCCCGCCAGCCCCCGCTCATTCTTGAACACATACACATTAAGCGCAGGACAAAGGGCTTCCTTTTCTATGAGCAGCCCATGACTGCCTTCCACTGCGAACTAAACAGTGGCCTTTTTACTGTTGGGGCCAGCATAGGCAGAAGCGGCCATACATAGCCGCTCCTAGGTTCAAGCAGGAGTTTTGTCCTGTGGCATATCCGCCGAGGAGTGTCTGTTATGTGGCACTCGTCTCTGGGCACTCAGCAGAGCTGCTCCACATCCTCTCTGACTGTCACATTATACATCGGACACACTCAGACTGATTCATTCACTGCAAGGTCTTTGAGTAACACCATTCTCAGCGCTGAAATAAACCAGCAGTATTTGCATTATTCGCTGGCCTGAATTTTATGCTTATTAGCACATTAGCCACTAAACTTTGTCACACTTTACAGTCACAAACTTTTTTTTTTTTTTTTCTAATTAGGATTTAATGTGATAGAGGGTTAGTGTCAAATTCAGTGAAAATGATAAATGGTTTACAAACGTTTTTTCACAAAGAAGAGATTGAAAATTGTGGTGTGCCTAAGTTAATAACCTCAATCTATACTTTACAACCTTTCCAGCTGACAATCTTTTTGGGTATAGCTCTATCAATCTTTCGTATCTAGAGTATGAAGTCTTTGCCCATTTTTATCAGAACAGATATTGCTCAGTCAGACTGGGTGGAAAGTTTCTGTAAGAACTGTCTTTGAGGTCTTGCTGCATATTTTCAGTTGTATATATCGTAGTCTGGACTTTGACTGGACATTTTGGTCCTTTTGCGCTTCCTCTGTTTAAGGTTGCATCCTACTCCCACTGAAAAGGCCTTTTCAGCTTTCAACCCGTAAATGCTTTGGATTTAGTTCACATATCTTACCCATTAACTCTGACAAGCTCTGCTAGTCCAGTTGAAAAAGGCAGCATACTTCAGCCCTCACCATTATTTCAGTCTGTTTTTTTTTTTTTTCAGACTGACATCCAGCTTTTCTGATTAATTCTCTTTCTTCAGCCTGTAATGTTAGCTGGAAAGCCATGTTGGTGTGTTTGGAGTTGTACCATGCTCTTCATTTTCAGATAACGCACTGATAAATGCTCTGTGAGATATTTTAAGTAGCCTAACCCTGCTGTAAACTTCTCAACAATTTTCTCACTGCCCTTTCTGCTGTGGCCCTTAGTCTTCAGGATGTCACATAAATATGCACTAATGTTCACTAATAACTTCTGCCTTCACAAGACAGACAGATTTATGCATGGACAGACTATTTAACTTTGGGATTTCTTTTGAGTTTGATTTTATTTAGGAGTGTCATGTCAGTTGGGTCTTGAATGCAGATATACACCAACATTTTTCTTTGTTTTTGTGCAAGAGGTTACAAAATCATTGTCTCATGTTTAATGTTATGCACTTTTTTTTATGTTGATCACATAACATTATTAAGAGTAACATTAATATTTGTGGTTTTAATGGTTTCACAGATGTGGGAGAGTTTAAGAAATGGGTAGTAGAAGTAAATACTTCCACAAAACACTCTTATCATTTTGAAGTCTTTCTTGTTTAGAGCCGTTGGTCGAGGCTTATTTCTCATTTACGTTCTTCTTTCTTTAGAACCAGCAGCATTCTCAGTAAGGACCATCCCCCAGACAAGAAACCCAAAAGTGACAAAGCTTCACTTCCCTCCAATGAGTTTGACCCTACAGGTAATTTCCCATTTTCATTCTCAGGGACATCCTTTCTTTCTGTTTTCCATGTTTGCTCTTCTGCAGTCTTTGTTCTTGTGGCCGCTGCTCAATGTTCCTCCCACTCTTTGTTCTTTCTAACACACACAAAACTGCCAAGCAAAATACTTGTTGTTAATCATTTACCAGAATGCGTGTTGGAAGGGTATAACATTGTATATGTTATATTCTTTTTGCACAATGAAGATATATATGTATAAATAGATTATATTATAATCTGTTTTTGCTGAAATAGATAATATAATATTTTCCCTTTTTTTACATTAGTACTTACATTATTTGATTGTGACTATACAATAAGTTTGGAGACATCACAAAATTTTCATGTGAACAAAGAAATAACCTCCAGTGCAATTCTCTTTCTATTCAACAGAACAATATCTGTTGACTAAGTCATCAGTGATGAGAAAAAAAATTATCTAATGTAGTGCACTGAAAAAAGTGTATAATTGTAGTGGTTGACACTGTCTGCTGACTAATGTCTCATTTTTGTTGAGTGATGCTCATGGGGTATTAAAATTTACTCGACTGTTTTTGCACCAATCCCTTAAGAGATGACTGGAGCTGGATGGTTTTCTGCTCGGGTGGATCAACTTCTATCAAAAAATTTATTCTTTTGCTTAGGTTTTTGAATAGTAATGAAATAACTTTTCAGAAATCAAAACTTGATTTTTTTTCTGACCACAATAAACCATTAGAATCAGGACAAAGAGAAGATATATAAAAAATACCCACAAAAAATGGCTGCAGCTTTGTTGAAGCGATGACATTTGTAAAACACTCTTAATACAAACAGATGTATGTGTTACTTTGGATTTGGACAAATACAAATATTGCTGATGCATGCAGTTGAAAAGACTTATCACATCTGATTGGAATTCAGCTTTTTTGTCCTGAAATATGGAGGACATTGCAGCAAAAAACTGTTCACAGGTCAACTTGTGAAAGGACATTTTTGCAACCTTATTGAGGAACTGTTGTGTGAAAAGGCTCTGTGAACTGGAACTTTATTTCACATTAGACTTATACCACTCCTTGCTTAATCTAAGGCTGCATACTGTTCTATGGTTTGCAAAATCTTTACCTGTTTTATTTTTAAATAAAGTATTAAGGAGGTGTGGCAGTAAGCTGCTTACCGCCGACACAAATGTAGTTAACAATCTGCTCACATTGTTCGGACTTGGTTTTATCTCAGGCATGTACACAGAAACTGACTACTACATTCTCTTGACTACTACATTGTCTTTCATAGTGTTTAATAAAATGCATGACAGTTAAAAGGAGTTGTAGAGGAAGTGTTACCCTCGTCACTGTTTGTTGCAGTACCTCTAAAAATGGTTGCTAAATAAGACATTGACCACAGTCTGGAGCCATGAATTGGCAACTGCACTTAGCCTAAGCCTTTGCATGTTTGGTGTGAGCTGAAGTGATCATCTGGATGTTATGACAAAACCTTCAAAGCTTTTTTTGAAGGTTTTGAATATTGTGACTAATACTGTCTTTTTCGACAGATAGTACAATAGTATTTTGTATGTTTTGTATGTTGCTGTTGGTATGTGTCATGTCAGACTTCTCAGTTTGACACTGGTCAATACTACGTTGCAAAGAAAAACGTTTTCCCTTTATTCTGTCTACTCCTAAACATTTCAGCTCAACGGACAGTTTTGTTTGGGTTTGTTTGTATGAGACAAAGATTGACAGAATAAAATGCAATTTTCAGATGATTTCATTTCTTAGGGAAAAAGTAATCTAAAACAACCATCCCCATCTTTTTAGACACTGAATTAACTCTAATTAAACATACTTTTTGAAACACACAAAGGCCTGATTACAAATAAAATAATAAAAACATCTAATTTGTCCTGTCTGACTATCTCCAAAAGGAACACATCTTGTCCTAAATTCAAAAACAGAAGAGAGCCTGTCAATGAATCTATCTGCCCGGAAAGAGTTACAAAGCCATTTCTAAGGCTTCATGACTCTAACAAACTGCAGTTTGACATGTCTGAACATGGGCTGGACTCCTCCTGACTGGGCCGAGAGGCGTGCGGAAAAAATATAAAGCCTCCCTGAGTCTGCTGTGGGATTCTAACAAACCACAGTGAGAGCCATTTTCCACAAATAGAGAAAACATGGAACAGTGGTGAACCTTGCCAGGAGTTTGCTAGCTTACTGAAATGACTTCAAGAGCGCAACGAGTCATACAGGAAGTCACAAACAACCCAGAAGAACTTTTAAAGCACTGCAGAAAATCACTTGTCTCTGTTCAGGTTTTGTACAAAATTGGATACAAAATTGCATCCATAAGATCCAAGGCCAGACCACACGGGCTTCAGTCATGAAGTAGCTAAAGAAACATTCTGAAAGACACTGTCTAGGCATCAGTCTGCCATTTTAAGCACAAGCATCATTATATTATGCATCAGAATAATACACCAGTATGTCCACTTCTGAGTGGCCATCCCCCTGTGGTGGTGTGCTGTGTGCTTCAACATTGAACCATGCTTGAAAACAATTGTGGCTGAATTAATTCTGTTAATAAGATTGGGCCAAAATTTCTCCTTGTCAGGTGAAAGACTGTTTTCCAGTTATCACAAACACTTTATGTCAGTTGTTTCTATCCAAGGATGACGCTGCTATTTATTAAGTGTAGGGGGCAATTACTTGTTCACATCATGTGTCTTAGTGAATAAGACCATAAGTGTATATATGTCTGTTGTACTAATACAAATGAGTTAATTTTAGCTTTAGTTTGATGAACTGAAAGATTTTAGCTTGACGAAAAAGCAGAAGTAATCTGTTAGGGGCCAAATATTTTTTATTACACTATGCATGAAGGACACAAAAAGCCTCTCTGTCTCTTCCTCAGTCCAGTCTCAGATCTTTGCAGGGTGAAATCGTTGAGGTTCCAAAACCAGTCCGGTGCAACATTGTGACTTTTCCCTCAGGTCTTATCAATCGGCTCAGAACGACAAAGGATCTGATCAAGGCTTCTGTATTCAAAACAAAACAGCAAATCCTCTGTAGCACATGGTGGCTTATCTCTGTGTTATGCAGCCATACAAACAGGATAGTTTTTTTTTCTCTCTCAACAGTTACACAAGATGTGCTCTTCACCACATGTTGTTTTGTGTCACTGCAAATACATTTATGTGATTTTCAGTGGCAGTTACCACCGTGTCTGAAATGACCACCACAGACAGGGAGGATTGAAGCTATATTTATTTGAAATTTACATCAACTTGTTCCCCTTTATCTAAAAAAAAAAAATCACTTTTAATTCATTGTACATTTTAACATGTTTGCATGCTGTAGGTTTCTGCTTGTCTATGTTGTATGTGCATGTTGCATGAACTGTTCTCTTGATTTGAGGTGATTTATCACAATTTTTAAATGGCTTGGATATGTAGTAATGGGCAGCAGATAGAATACAACATCACACAGATGTGGTCTCCGATGATTTATATCTTCAAATTTAAAATCCTTCATTGGCTGTGGTCTTTTCTCCAAACTAATGACTTTTATTTTACCCCTTAACTATCATGAGGACACCAATGTCCTCAGCCATTCACTAATATGTAAGTCAATGGGTGACAGTCGAGGGGTGCTGCCCTTTTGTTCATTTAGTTTTTCTTCTCCCATGATTGTTTCTTCCTCATGATTTTCTCTTTCCTGTTTTGTGTTTCCTTTCCATGTGTTGGTTGTCGTTTATTTTTGTTTACGTGTTTGTGTGCTGCTGGCTTCTGGTGGGGGCTGTGAGCAGAAGCTCTGGTGGTGGAGAAGAGTGGCAACAACAGTGTGCTTGCAGAGGGAAAGCCTGAATCCTGTGGTAAGATGTTTCATGGTGCAATTGCCGGCGTGGCAGCATTAATGTCCTGGTGTGAAGTTGCCGATAGAAAATAACGAATGGCCAGGCTAAAATATAAATTTTAGCCTGCGTGATACAAAGTCAGAGCTGGGCACCAAATCAAAGGATAAGCCGGAGAAATAAGTTACATAAGCATGCAATTTACAGACTATGTAAGCAAAAACGTTGAAAATTATGCCACAGAGTGATTAATAAGCGTTTTATTGAAAAGATATGCAGCTAAAGTATTTTTTTTTGTCTCGCAAGCATGGGAAAGTGTAAGATTCTTCACACTCACAGCAGTAATGTCTATGTATCTCAGTTGTTATTGAAGGAACTTTGAGACAGTAGATTGGTTCCATGGAAGAAGTGAGCAATTTTGAAGTTGTGACTTTTAAAAACTTAGTAAACTGACCCATTCAATAATGTAGATTACTACAATTATATGTCAGCAACTTTTAACTCTGAGTAAAACACATCATATAGATAAATTACACACAGAGGGATGTTTGAAAGCCTTTTTTTCTGGTAATCAGGGTTTTCCACTTACAGACACTGAGTAGATGACATTTAAAATTAGAATATGTCATCAGACCAATAAAACTGGTGAACAGGATGATTGGAAACACTTAATTTTTAGTACAAGAGCCATGTCACTCTATGGATTTTGTATGTTTTTCATAATTTAATCTTGGATAAGTTAACTTTTATTGAATATATTACTAGAAATTGCTAATGCTTAGAAAAATAGGCTTTTTTACCAGCAGCAAAGTATGTTGATGTTTTAAAATTTCGCAGTTTTAATATTACTAAAGGTTTTTTTGTTTTCTGTGGTTTAAAGTCCTTTCAATGAAATGCAAGAGAAGATGACATCCTGATTAATTAAGCTAGATATGAGCTTACTGGTGTTAAGCAGAACGGCAAAAAGGTGTGACATTTTCCACAATAAGCAGTTAAAATTAATAAAATGTGTTCATTTTATTTTTTTGGTTTGGTCAGGTAAGAACTATCAATGTTACAGCAAACATTGTTCCTACTATAATAATAAATACTGCAATATTTTATTTCTGGTTTGAATGACAAAATAGTCTGTGAAGCTAAAAGTCTTGTACTCTTTTGTCAAGCTGGTCACACTGTGAGATTCTCATATTGGCCCATGCCCACTGTAAAACTTAGCTCTCAGTTGGTGTGACGCCTCATTTCCTGAATCCATGCTAACGGGGTCATTATGGAGCGCCGTCGTCCCTGCGGTGTCAGTGCTGCTGTAACTCTGGTCGGCTGCCCTCTCACGCCTGTCACATCAGTTGGGAGTTTGTTTCAACACTGCAATGGCCCACACAGTCAGTTAATTTGAGATTTCTAATCAAATGACTCATAGCGATAGCCTGAAGTTATATAAAGCCCACTGACAGAACACATTGTTAAAGCTGCTGTCAGATAGAGCAGTCTGCAATGGCGATGTTTCAGTTGCTTTCTAGAAAGCATGATCAAGATAACACATTTTTGTCATTATTAGGACGGCATAGGTGTGTTTTGTCTGTTTTTATTTCTCCCTGTGCTTGCTTGCATGATCATGATCAAACTCAGATTCATTGCAAGCAAAAATAAGGTAAGGGTTTCATTTGCCTCAATTTTAGATGTAAGGAAAAGTGTCTGAATTTTGTGAGCCATCCTTTATTGATTTTGATTCCTTTCTTTTGGCATTGTGATGCTGAAAGCACCTCGGCTGCATTAAAGGTCAGTTTATCCCTTAGAGGATATTCCCATGTGTTTCAGTGAAGGGTGCCGATTACATATGAGTTGAACTTTTAAATAATGCATGAGCTCAGATGGTTTAACCTGAGCAGTAATTACAAGACCGCTCTCAAATCCCTCACTGCCATTGTTCATGCCACCTGAAGATTTTGAACATTTCAGCAAAAGATAGAAAATCAGATCTAGAGGCAGATTCACACCAGCTCTGTTCCCCAAACGGCTTTATCTGACACCCCTGCCCTCTCCTCCCCTCCCATCCCCCTGCTCTTTCAGATCTACCTAACCCTCTTTTCCACCAGCCACCCACCCCCCATACTGTGCCATTTGGCTCCCTAGCCTACCTCCCTTAGGCTCAGAAGCCTAAGGGAGGGGGCAGCAGCAGATTTCCAATTTCCAACCCCCCATCTAACCCTTATTGGTGAACATCTTTATTGTTGTTATTGAATTGACCATAAAATTTTAAACATTACTGGAAGACATAAGTTATTGTGCTTAACGTCTGCTTCTTAAAATATGTATGAAGGTTTGTTGTTTTAAGGATAACAATTGTTTTACTTTGTATTTTAACAACTGTGTCCTCATTAGCTTTCTGGTTAGTCTGGCTCTTGTCATCCACACGAGATAAGCTCCTTTCACTGTGGTCAACAAACAAAGCAAGAAAAGAAAAACCTGTCAAGTAACGTTCCTATTTTGATCTTTCTGATCTCAGGATACAGTTCTTTGCAAAAGCTTTAAAACCCTTTGAACTTTGTGACATTCTTTTACTTACAGTCACAGACCTTATTATATTTAATGATAACTGACTTGACCAACACAAAGTAAAATAATGCAAAGTGGAAAGAAAAATCTAAAATGTGTTATGTGCATTTATATGCCTCCTCCTTTATTGTGATATCCATTAATAAAATCCAGTGCACCCAGTTGCTTTCAAGCCCCATCCAGGTAAGAAAATAGCAACTGACCTTTAGCCAACTTAACCTCAGTATAACACAAACTGTTATTAGTGAACAAACATCATCACTAAGACCCAAACAGTAATGACCTGAGACTGAGGCCAATGTTCACACTTCTGAAGGACAGTTACCTTAAACATACAGCCAAAGTTAAAATGTAATGATTTACATGAAACCATCTTTATGTGGCAGAACTAAGTCTAATTAAAAATTTGTGGTAGTGATGTCAAAATATATCCCAGGTGACAGTGCCTTAGCTACTTTGCAAAGAAGAACTTGGAAAATGCCATGCTCTTCATGTGCAAAAACAGAAACCAGACGAATTGCAGGTTAACCTTCAGCTAGAATTACTTGTGCAAACTCAATACATGTATTCCAAGCATGTCCAAATCTTATTTGTTAAAAAAAATGAAAAAACAGAAAATTATATAGAATTTTCATTCAACTTATTCCATAATTAAACAATAAAACAAAACGTCACAGAACTTAAGTGAGTTATTGCTATTTTACCGTAACACAAAGTATCATTTGCATCAAAATGCTTAATTTATGTTTTAACAGCAGCTGTTTAAAAGCATTACTCACATCTATCAGCTTTATAGCTTCTTTCTCTTGACCATTCTGGTTACACAAATTCCCCTTTGACACTGCTTTCAGTGTGACTAATGGGGTAGGAGGAACAAACAAAAATTCTGTTGTGTTTTTTTTTTTTCTTTACTTGCATGTAGGGATGTGAAACTCAAACAACATCAACTTTCTTTTTAGTTAAGCTTAAAATGTTTTCTGTCCTGTCTCACTTTACAGGTCTGGTCCAGCGATGTGTGATCATTCAGAAAGATGAAAATGGCTTTGGGCTTACCGTCAGTGGTGACAACCCTGTGTTTGTGCAGCTGGTCAAAGAAGGTAAAGTGGAGTGTAACGTGTAAAAAAAGAAGAAAAAACAGATTTTACAATGGAAGCTCCTGGTCTGAATCGTCACAGGAGAGATATACACTCCTTTTTATGCCGAGACATCAGGTTCACAAAGTTTCTCGTGAACTTGTATGAAATATTGATACCTGGAATTATTGATGTGATTCTTAAAATGTACCTGATTCCACATTCAATAGGCAGTAAGCTATATTTTCTGCACAGTAGTTTCAGTATAGCTGCAGCTTCTTCTGTCTGGGTACTTGCAGTTAGTTACTGCAGTGCCTTTAGAGGGTAATGAGGCTCTGTTATCAGGTCTCTACAAACATCACATGGGCTGTGTAGAAGAATAAGAAGATAAGAAGAAGAAACTCTTTGGGCTTTTGTTGCATGGTCATCAATGCTTTTTCAGTTGCCATATGTGCCACTGTTCATTAGACGATACAGAAAGCAGTCTTTCTAGGCCTATTTATAAAGATATATACATATTTAGAGTTGGCGTACTGCCTTCGATTATTTATTGCATTTTAATTGATCGTGTTTCTTTGTTTCAAAGAATTTGTGGATGTCCAAATGTGGGAATAACGGCCCCTGATGAGTCATATACAAACCAATGCCCTCCACCTTTTCTTCAGTTGGTCTCATAAGTTTTTCTTTAGATTTTGATCTGCGAGTATATCCATTAATGAAGGTCAGCTTTTTTATGTTTTAAACCATTTCTGTGTCGATTTGGACATAGGTTTTGAGTCAATATCCCGCTGGAACGTATTACAACAAACATTCAGTTTTCTGACAGAATTCACCAGATTTGCACCAGAAAGAGGCCCACAGCAACCCTGGCCCTCCACCTCGCCAAACAGTGGCATTTTGTCACATGCCCTACTGTTCTTTAATGCCAAATTCACCTGGAATGTTCGTTGCTGAAAAGCAGAGTCTCAGTTTTACAAACCCATGTTTACATTTGTGATGACAGGATAGCAAAGCATTTTCCCTATTATACCTTCCAGACAACTTGTGAGTGTGTAGCCAGGGTGTAATGGAGACTCAGTCATCAATGTCACTGATTGTTGGAGTTCTGTGTCGTTGCATTTTGGATATTAACCTTCCTAAATGAGGTGGCAAGATAGTTTTGTTGTTTGTTTAGCCGAGTGGCCATTCAATAAGAGAAATAGGCCTTTACCTGTGTTCATAATCTTGGAAAACAGGGAGTGGTATAATTACATTTATAGAAACTCAACTTCAAAGAATAAATGTATTATTTTATAAATGAACAAAGCAATTGGATGATAGGGCAATGTAAAGAGAACTGATGCAAAATTTAAAAAATTTGTCTTCTGTCCTTTTTATTAGCAGGTGTAAGGTAAAGCTAAGACCAACAACATTTAGTAAGCAAGTACTGTGGGAATATAACAATAAATAATAGCTGTTTGTAATGGTCGAATGTTTACCCACAGCCTGTTTAGAACCTTTGCTGCAGTTAATGGCCACTACCAAGCCTTGGTTGTTTTTTTTTGGAATTACAAACTACACTAGCTTTACCCTGCTCAGTATAGTCAGACGTGGCTCATATAATAACCCGTCTCTTGCCTAAATCCCCTTGTTTGGGGTGGAGCTGTGAAACAGGTCCTACTTGTAATATAACTACTATTATGGTCTTCTAAAAGAGGCCCTTTGCCACATCTGATCTGCCAAGACAATGTGAAATATTTGTTGCATAAAAATTTTAACAATTTAACCAGGAAGATGTAGTTATTTTCCTTCGACTGGATCATTATTTGTTGGGTTTCTGTTGTCCCTCTTGAGTCAAATCATTGCTTCTTTCTCCTTTGTTCTTGCCAGATGGGGCTGCAATGCGGGCAGGTGTTCAGACGGGAGACAGGATCATCAAGGTAATGTGGTTTAAAGAAAGAAGATAAACCCAAGTGTCACAATGTTGGTGCAGTAAAGTGGCTGTATGCTGCCACCTGCTGGACATGAGGTGTCATCTGTTGCTCACTTTCAGAAAGTACTTCATTGTCAAACATTTCGGCTTGGCTTCGAATTTAAAGTTTTGTTGTTGTTTTTTTGTCTTTCCTTCCTAATTGTTATGCTGCTGTTGTCTTCCAGGTTAACGGGACCCTTGTCACACATTCTAACCACACAGAAGTAGTGAAACTTATCAAATGTTAGTTTCTCTGGACACATTTTTACCAAAAAATACATTTATAAACAGAATAAAGCTGAAGATGAGATTGTGTAATTCTTCTGTCTTACCGTTCTAGCGGGCTCCTACGTGGCGCTCACGGTTCTGGGGCGCCCTCCAGGGCTCGCTCAGATTCCGTTGCCTGAAACAGAGCCTGACATCTTGGGTGTTAGCATATCCTCTCCAAACTCTCCAGCAACAGAGCGCCCCTACAGTCCTCAGGACCACCTCTCCCCCTTCCAACCATCTTGGGTACGAAAGATATCTAATTTATTATCACTCTATTACCCTGCTGATTAAAATATCTGCAGATTCTGCATCTACTGTATATTCAATCTCGCAATTCTAACTTCTCATCTCAATTGATGCGTTAAATCTTTAGAATGTTTGTCATATCTGCCTTTGTGTGTTCCTCACATAAATCTATAGCACTGTTTGCACTGAGTAAGCAGAATTAGGCCAATCAATTACCACCTTTTCAACCCTCAGGAAGAAAACGGCAGTGCCTGCAACCAGAGGTCTGATGTTTTGCAAAAGAAGCTTTCAAAAGAACAGCAGGATCTACAGGTTTGCATAATAATGGCTGTTATGTACTGTGTTTTACTTTAAAACTTGGTGTCTCCTTGGTAGTTAGCTACTCTACTTGACCCTTAGCTCCATTTGTGTTAGAAATTTTGCAACCAAATAATTTCTCAAGATTACTTGTTCTACATCCATCAAGTAAAACGAGAACCTTAAGCATAGAGCCTGAGCTACAATGAAGTGATTTGAATCAAAGCATTTCTATGTGCTCGGATGGTCTAGTCAAAGTCTATGCCGAAGTCCAATTGTATAGAATTACAAGTTTATGGTCACAGACAGTATTGATTCAGTCTGAGTGATTTTGGGCAAAAAATGACTGAAGTTTGAAGAGATGCACGTGTGAGACTGGAAGCTAGATATGCAGGAAAATGTGGTTCTGCAGAACCATGACTCATGGAGGATAAATTAAAAAGCTTGAGACATCTTTTTATATTTTTTAGTTGTAATAAAAACTGTGAAAACCAGGTATTTGGTTCCTTCCTCTTCATAATTGTGTTCTACTTTGCACTATATAGATTTACGCGATTACCGCGTGACAGAATCGGAAGAAGTTGTGTGATTAGTTTTTGCGAGTTTTGTATGTGCATATTTGCCTATTTGTGCATAAATACCTGAAAGCTGTATTTTGTTTTGATTACACTCTTCACATTGTCTAGGCAATGAAAGAGGAGTACAGCAGGAACCGCTCCCCCAAACTACTGAAGGACATCCAGGAAGCGAAAAAACACATTCCTCACCTGCAGGGTCAGCTCTTAAAGTCCACTGAAACAGCACAGGTACCAACTTTCATATTCGGCCCAGAAAACAGGAAATCTACTGACACAGATCTATCAGATGTATACCAGCAATCTCTGTATAATTTTTTTTAGTGCATTTGGGGCTCATTCCAGACATCCTAATCTCATCAAAGGATTAAGCTTCCTCTGTTGGAAGCCACTCTTTTGTGTCTGCATGGCAGAGAGTTTTGCCATCTCTCGTGCTATTTAAAGTGTTTCTACATGTCAGTCTGCTGCATGCCAGCTACATTTTATTAAATCAGATTCTGGAAATATAATAAATCTGCTTTTTTAGTTTTCTCACATCAACGTGTTACATTCTTTGGATGGTGACCAGCTTTTGACTGTTGAAAATTGTAACAAGTCTTGCATGGATCTGCAGGAGGCTGATTCAGGTGGCGATGCAGACGACAGCATCACGTATGAAACGGATCGCACACACACCCCTAAAGCAGACAATAGCACAGATCTATCCTGGACCAGCACTCCCGTAAGTACTGACTTTCAATTCATCATGATTAAATGCTCATCATATTTACAGAGTTCTTTAAATGCATGCATTGACTTTTCTTTCACATGCTGGTTTGACAGAAAATGGATAAAATATATTATTGGAGGGGTGGCTATTATGTAAAATCATTTGTTTGAGCTTTATATTATTTTGCAATGTTATTTTCTCATTCTGCGAGTTTTGCTCTTAAGAACAGTTGTTAATGGCATAATGTGGAGTGTCTTTCAGTCAATTTCAAGGCGTCAAATTAGTCAAATTTCTTTTTAGTCATGTTTGATTTATGCAACATTTTAATAACAACCGAAGGTGACACGGTTACTTTATTGTGCTACAAAATGGCAAGGAAGATACAAAATACTGCAACTTTAACCAATTGCAGTATTTTGCAACTGTATTATTTCTGTGTTTTATTATTCCTTTAGTAAATACTTAAAAATCCGTATTTTTAAGTCTAAATATCTTGTTTCCAGATATTTAGAGCAGCGACTCCAGAAAGCCATTGTTCAAAAGAGCTCTCCTACCCCAGCCCAAAGAGCACACCCCGAAACAGCTTCAACTCCTGCCACTCCCCAGAGACGGAGGACACCACTGACCTGGTAATTTAACTAATCACTAATTCATATGCATACAGTTAGCCTGCATTACCTGTTTAAAAAACAGTTTTGACTTGTTTTAGGAACCTCACATGACTAAGTTCACCCAACTAGTGTTAGATTTGAGTTGAAACCAGACAGTTTGAATGTAGCTCTTTACTTTCATTGTTGAAGCAACTTTTCACCATGTCCTTCACCCTTGCCAAAAAGCTAGATCCTCATCTCACTGGAAACCTTACCAAATCCTTTCAAAACTGCAGTCAGATAGACCAGCTTCATCTGACCATCTGACCTTAAAACTGTCCCCCTGAAGGCATTTGGTCTATCCACGTGGACTACTGCAAACTGAATGTGTTGATTTTTGAGCAGCATTTTTGTTCTCTCAGTTGTCACCCTACAGGTTTAGGTTCATGGTGTCTGGCTTCACTGAAGGCAGTGACACTGGTGGTTTCTGGTTGTCTTTGAACATCCTAAACAATGTTCTTCGGTGTTAGTTGGACAGTTTGATTCAGATGTTTGTAACTTGCACACAATCAGTTTTTCCAACAAGGCAATGTACGTAGCACAAATCAAAACTACATTTGGGAAAGATAACGCAAAATATATGAAGCATATGGAATGGGCCTGAGTAAAATCCTCTTAAAAATGTATTGACTGTGATCGGGTCTTTGTAAAGAAGTAAGGCAACCAGTTTAAAGGAACTTCACCTACTTTTTTATAATATTGGTTAAATGTCCAATGAGGATTATGGCAGAACATTGCTAAAGAATGTACGAAGTATTTCTCTTCAGACTGATAATGCCTGTTTATCCAAATATGGCTGTGGTTGTACATAAGGCTGAACAATATTAGAAATGTTTGCGATCGCAGTAGAATTGGTATTTATTGACAATGATGAGATCAGTTGTGCGAGATGCCTATTTTCTCCTTTTCTCTTCTTCTCATTTGTGCTTGCGTCACTCTGTGACCTTTAGTATTTTGGGCATTAGTGTCCAGTGTGAGCCACGAGACTGTCCAAACTGCCAAATATTACATTAGCACATGAGCTGCAGGTTTATGACCCTTAACATATATTACCCAAAAATTGCTGCATTTTGAATAGTGCTTTCCAATATAAATATTGCTGAGACTAATATTGGAATGTTGTATTTGCAATATATTTTGGAGACTTGATGTTGTACCTATAATTTTAATGTTGTGATTGGAGAAAATCCAGATTAGAGTCAAACTTTTGCATCCGGTTTTTGTGTCACATAATCATTTTCACCTGGAAAAAGGAGTTATAAGCAGGTACATGCCTATGATGAATGTATGGAAAGTTTTAATGTGGAGAGACTAATATGTTTAATCTTGTTTTTTTTGTTTTGTTTTTTACAGGACTCTCTGTCACCCTCCGCACTCAGTAGTCCCTCCTCTTCTCGCGTTATCTCGCAAATTATTGGAGCTGAAGATGACTATTTTGGTCGAGACCAAGAGCAGGTGGGCTTTTTTACAGGCTGCCAACATGATTGTCACACTGTACATTACAGATGTACTATAAACACACCCAAAAGTACCTTTGTAAAAGGAAGTTTAAAGAAGGACGTGCGTGTGTTTCAGACAAACGGCCAGTGTGACAGCTTTAACAGTATTGAGCAGCTCAAGTCTCGCCCTGCTCACCTCGCAGCCTTCCTGCATTATGTCATCTCTCAGTTTGAACCTGCTCCTGTGGTGAGACTCTCTTAAGCATGTTATTGTCTGTTTTTATGCGACCTGACATCCTCTAAATGAATCCTAATGATCCGGTTCTCAGTTGTGCTACCTCTATACCGAGCTCTACAAGCAGACCAACTCCAAAGAGACCCGACGGGTTTTCATGGACCTCCACAATTTTTTTATGGACCGGGGAGCAGTGAGTTTCTGAAGTTGAACATGAATTACATTTTTACATGAAAGTCGTTGAATGCTACTAAAATTACTCTTAACATCTTTGTTATTAAATATTTAATAGTTTGATTTTTCTGAATCAATCACATGCTTAGCCAAACATGATCATAATCTCTGGCAAAGCCACTTTGTTTTACGTCAGTTATGGCACCGATATGTTAATATGGCATCTTTGCAACTAATTGACATAAAAAAAACTTTTTCTGTTGCAGAATTTAAAGGTTCCTGTTCCTGAATCTGTTTCCTCTGATCTTGGTAACTATCTCATTGTGCTTATAACACTTGGTGAAAATTCTGCTTTGTTTGAGTGTGAGTTCTTAACCTTATGTTTAAGGTTCAGAACCCTAAACATAAAGGTTCTTAACCCTTATGTTAAGAGTTTCCTTTCTTTCTTTGAAGACCGGCGGCGGACGGAGCTGATACCAGAGGAAATAAATAGGCAACATGTTCAAACACTGCAGGACTCTCTGCTAGCTGACGTTGAGAAACACCTCGAGGACTTCAGGTAAACCTGGTCCCGCTGACTCTTGTATTCCTTTCTAACATGGCAGCTACTTAAGGAAACTGTTTTGAAGTTCAAACTGTGAATTGTTAATATCAATACACATGTCGGTTTTACAGCGATTCATGGATAAAAATATGTTTTGAATTTCAGACAGAAGCGCAATATGGGCCTAACGGTGGCTGAAGCTGAGTTGGCCAGACTGGACCAAGAGAGAGTCCGAGATCGTGTCACGCTTGAGCGAGAACGTTCATACGCTGAAAACATCATATCTAAAATAGATGACATTCTGTGAGTCGCTCATTGAGATGAATTTCCAGTCTGACATTAACATGCAGTCATGAAAAATTGCAAATCTAGGTCTTTTAATGAAGTATTTGAGATGTCTTTTTTCCCAGTTGAAATGATCACAGAACTAAAAAAAAAAAAAAAAAAAAACTTAAAAGCTGGAATTTGCTTTTTCATTTTCATTAGAGTTTGAAATCACACATAAAAACTCAAATAAAATCTCGCATGCAATCTAGATTTAAAGGTTTTATCTTCAAAATGTGATCTCTGTAGAAAGATCTCATAAATTATTGGTGATTTATATATATATATATATATATATATGAATACTTTAAATTGCTTTATTGGGCTGAGAACTCTGTAAATTTGAGTCAGAGTCTCTAATCTTTAGCTCCCTCATGAAAATTGTGCAGAAAGCCTGTCAATCCAAATTAGACTGAAACAAATCGTAGTTCTACTTTCAAAGAGGAACTCCCAGCTTCAGGCAATCCCGATCATTTGCAACAAATTAATAGTCCTTAATAATATCAAGTTGAAATAACATTATAGGACTTTCATGCTATTTATTTGAAGATTAGATTAATATATGCAAATATTTGGGAATTGCTGTTTAATTTAGTGGTGGTATACATTACGTCAAATGACTCATGGACACACACGAATTCTTTCATGACAGAAACATTCATTGTTTCTCCCTTAAAGCAATTGAAACCCATAATTGAATTGAATTTATGCAAAAGATGAGTGCATGTAAAAATCTGGCTGGAAGTGTATCCATACAAATACATTTTGGTGAAAAGTCATTGGGGTTGTTAAGCAGAAATATACTACTCATGTCTCTTTTTGTTCAATCATATAATTTTTGCCTTTCAGTTTAACTACTCAGATGACAGAGGAAGACAAATGGTAAGACATCTTATAATGTCACATGTTTATAGCACACATTTCTTAATTGAATGAATATTTGAGAGGTGTTTTTTTGAATGAATGAGTCTCAAAGTTAAGTCTTTTAGCACAGTGACTTCTCTCTTAAAACATTTTGATTTTGTAATATTGGGCATTAAAAGCAGACATGGGTTACATGAACTATGTCAAAAATAGTAATTTGTTAACTTAAGACCATATGTCTGTGATGTTTCTCCCACGGCAACTGAGCAACTCTGACAAATTCCTTTGTGCCATTAAAGCTCCGATTTGCATCTCCCACAGTTTACAAATAAGGCGCTCGGGCAGACTCTTAAAGAGAACATGTAATTTATGCAGTATGTTTATATTAAATTATTCAAAAGTGTGACTGATTGAAACACTCTTGTTTGATATGCCATATGGTCTCAGCACTGCACAGATGGGTTGTCTAGAAATTGTACGAGGACCGGGGTGACATATGGCACAAATCACAATGTGCATACACGTGCTATTGCCTCATTTTTTGCTAAACTGCAAATCACAAACTTGCATGTTAACTCTTCTTATTTTTCTTCAGCACCACAATACAGTTTGTTATTTATACATACATGAAGCACCTCGGTGTGAGGGTTAAAGAGCCTCGAAATCTGGAGTCCAAACGGGGTCTGAACCGTCTTTTCCCTAAGATGAAGGTACCACGTGTGCTTCTGGCATATCAAACGTTCTCCCTCACCTTTGTCAAGCGTGTAACACTTTGTCTCCTCCTTTTCTTTAAGCAGAAAAGTATTAAAACAGATAAAGAAGTTGATGACAGATTAAAAAAGAAATTTTTAAATCTTGTACCTCAGCGTCGACCCTCGGCAGCAGGTAAGATTTTTTTGATGATGATGATAAATGATAGAAAGTGAGAGTCGGATTGGTTTGCAGATTCTTCTCCAACACATCCCACAGATTCTCAGCATGGTTAAGGTCTGGACTTTGCGGTGGCCAATCCATGTGTGAAAATGATGTATCATGCTCTTTTAACTACTCTTGCATAATTTCAGCATGATAAATTCTGGCATTATTATCTTGGAAATATGCCTGTGATAAAAATCCATGGATGGACTAACCTGCTCATTCAGTATATTCAGATGGTCTGCAGGCAGATTATGTGCAGCAAACCCAGATAGTGCTGCCTCCACAAGCTTGTAAGGTACCCTACCTTAGCAACTGTCACTCGAGGACAGGATAACTCAGAACTTATCAAATCACATGATCTTCTGTTTCTCCACACTGCAATGCTTGCAAACTGAATCCATCCATCAGCGAGGCTGTTTAGAACTACTCAGATGTGTTGCACAAATTAAATAGGCAGCATAAAAGCAATGGGAAGGTATAGTTAACATATGAGACAAAGACTGGTTCTGTGTCCCAGAGAGAACCATCTTTTAATGTGAAAGTCTAAAACATGGTTTTGGAGCAAAAACCTTGTAAAGATGCTGACTGAAGCTAGTGAGAGAAAGACATTATCTACGGTGAAAAAAGTTCTGTGCCAACAAGGGCTGAAGGACACTCGGAAAAGAAAAAAGCCATTACTCCAAAAGTAACATAAAAAAGGGATTATGTTTTCAAATTGCACTCACAATGGCCTTATGCTTTGGATAGATATTTTGTGGTCTAATAAAACTAAAGTGGAAATACTTGGCCGTAGTAATTATTGTGACATTTGGAAGAAAAGTGAAGATATTTATAAGCCAGACAAGAGCGTCTGAACTGTGAAGTGCTGTTGAATGGTATTTCACTCCAAAAGGGACTGTTGCATTTCACAATACAGGTTTTATTGTAAGTAAAAACAAAAACATAGCCTGTCTTTATTAAAGCGACATCTCATCAGTGACATCTCATGACGATAGAAGATCGGGAACTGATGGCTCTTTAAGCTGATAATATCTATAAGCTTCCTGCAAATTTACAATTGCAAATTACTGACTACACTTGCAATTTTTATCAAAAAATTGGTAAAGTTCTGATATGAGTCCCATAGAAAATTTGTGGGCAGAGCTCAAAACTATAAAACTAGCTACACCAGTTCAGTCAGGAGGAATGGACTAAAAAACAAGCAACTTTTTTCCAACTTTTAAAACAACAGGCAAAAACCTGGACAATCGCCCCAGGCCTCAGAAACAGCTGTCTCAGCCAACGCTAGGAGTGGTTGAGCTCATGGATAACAGTCGTCTGAGGGGCAGCCAGTCCAGTGAGGGCCCCGAACTCACTCATTCCTTGTCGGTCTCATCTCCAAGTAACACCATCTATGGTGTGGATGCAAACCGAGATACTGACATTGGTAAGTATGGCTTATTTAATTAGAATATTAAGATTGTCGATCTAGGTTTTGCTGAAGGTGGAAAATAAGTTTAGCATTTTTACCAAAAGTAAAATAGCCTTTTCTGTTGGGAAGTTTAATATGTTTATTTTGTAAAATAGTCATAGTTTCAACATTCTGCTTCTCATGTCTACGCTTTAAGATGGTGAAGCAACATATATTTCTATGCAGAAATATAGGTTTTGAGGTAGCATAGGAATACCCTTGATATAAAGTTAATCATTCACATTTTGCCACACAAATCACCATCAACTGTAAAAATAAGAGTTCTGAATGCAATTGAAAAGAATTCAATCTCTACGTTAATATCAAATTGTTTGTTTCATGACGTCTTTTGGCGTGAAACCAAATTATATTCCCTTCAAATTGGTGGAATTGTGAACCAGTGAACAGATTTCAACTTCATTATTACCACTCCCATTTATGTTTGGGAAAGGGAGTGAAGCAGTTCCAGAGGTAAAATTAAAAAGCATAATTATCAGCAAGCAAACTCTCAACTGATGATTCTGGTGCAGCTATTACATTTTACAGTTTATGTTGAGTCACTCCAAATATTATGGTACTGTATCGTGCCAATTTTGAGCTCCGGGATTACAACTCTCACTTAATGGCAGCATAACATCATTGTGTCAGGATGCCCACAAAAAATATTTCACGCAAAAGGCTGGTGCAGATTATATTTGTGTATTGCATGTTCCAAAAACTGTGTGGGCAAAGGATGTCTGCGTGGGACAGATTAATGCAGCTGGACTCCTGACAATCTTTATGCAGCTAAAGCAAAGTGAAAACCACCATGACGCACATGGAGTTGTGGAGTTGTGCAGTTGAATAAAACTGTTTGAAGCTTTATTTTGAGGGATATTAAAACGTTTTCACTGGTGTTTTGTACCACTTACACAGAAGCACGCTACTGTCACGGTGGAAAATAAATTAACAATATAATTACCTTGTTATGAAGGGACATAGTTCCAAAACGTACTTTCCTCCTTGACAGAAATATACTCATGTACCTTTGTGTTGCTCATTTAAATGAAATGTAGTGTCATTGATTTTACCAGTACACTGCCAACTCCATGTTTTTAATTTCAGCTTTCTTTTATGGCCACTCTGTCGTCCGACACCATCCACAATTACAGTCAAAATCCTCATTAAAATAGGACGGTCTGCACCGCCGTGCTGCCTGTAAACATCTGCATGCACAATTTTTGTAGATTCAGCTCCATGGGCCCACTAATTATGCATACCGTTTTCATCTGGGATCTTTTAAAATCAGACCCTAAATCTTAACTCCAGTCTGATGACCTCTACCAACCATCCTGTTGAAATTTCTCCCCTTCTGTTGTGACCCTTTTGTTGACTACAAATGAAGTTATTTAAGTCGGTGTACGGAATAAGCACACTAAATTCTTCAAGCTAAACTAATGTACGCGGTTCAGTTTCAGGTGGGACTCCAACATCAGCCCCCTCCAGGCTGAGTGACGGTCTTCAGCCTGATCCTCTGGATGGATTAGCATTCCCTGATTCAGCTGAGCTTTATCCCATGGAGAAGTTACAAGAAGATGACAGAGAAAGTGACAGGTGTGTTTTACGCATTCTGAATGAGAAGGAAGATGATTTTCCTTTTTGTCATTGGTTAATTTAACTAAATCTTTCTCAGAGCTCATGACGGGACACCAAAGGCGGTTAGAAGGTGAGTGCAGCAGATCTTTGGTGTTTGGGATTAATCTGAAAGGTAAAGGGCGAAATGAAAAGTGACCTTATTCTTGTCTTAGACTTGAGGCATTGGGTATTGGAGACGTCCAGAGCGAGGATGATCAGGGGACAGACTCTGAGCTCGATCCCCACAACTGGCAGCATCTGGTGGGACGAGAGGTCCTTGCAGGACTCAGGCCTCAAGAGATTAAGAGACAAGAAGTTATAAATGGTGAGTGCAAACAGCAGCCATTGGTCCATAAGTCTTCTTTATGTTTAATGTACTACAACCACAAATGTATTTTACTGGGATTTCACAAACAAGCAGGGCTCTTTGGCACCTCCACTGTGGCTCTTATAAACGCAAATAGTATTGTGTGTAAATATAAAGGCAATATGTGCTTTATGTTTTTAATTCGGCAACCTATCTTCCTTCAAGTCCATATTTATGAGAAGTACTCATTTGGTAGAGTCTTCAGCTGGAATTTACAAAACAAAGTAAAAAACTCCTTAGCTTTCAAAATAGAAATGAAATTCTCGTACTTATTTATAATGTTTTTTTTTTCAAGCAACGTTTCTTTTCAATGGAACAATGTCAAATCCAATATCTGAAAATGGAAAGAGATTCATACACTTGTAAGCACATCTCGAACTAAACTGATTGGTTGGAATTATAAAAGAAGCAGCCAAGAAGTCCTTAGGAACTAAATGCCCCGTATCATTGTAATTCCACTCCACAATTATGAACCTTGTGTTTGAGCATCACATAAAATCTTAATAAAATGAAGTTTATGAAGAAAACAAGATCAAGAAATACGAATACTTTTTGCACGTCACTATAAGAGTGTAATCACTATATGATCTTCCGCTCTGAGTGAACTCCTCTCATGTCGTCCACAGAGTTGTTTTATACAGAGCGTGCACATGTAGGGATGCTGAAAGTTCTGGATGACGTTTTCTACCAGCGGCTTTCCAAAGACGCAATCCTTCCTCCGGCTGACATCAAGAACATCTTCACCAACCTGGAAGAGGTCCTGCAGCTGCATGGTACACTCAGTAAAACAACTCTTGTACTCTGTAACTTTAAATCATAATTCATAATAAGACATTTTAACGATACATTTGTTGATTTTCAGTTTCAATATTTGAGCAAATGGCAGCCATACGGAAGAGAAATGATTCGTTGGTAATAGATCTAAGGGGGGACGACTTGCTCTCGTGGGTGAGTCAAAATTGTTTCTTCTGGCATCGTTTTTTTTAAAACTGTAGTCACAGCTTGAATGATGAAGTTGAAACAAACTGTGCACACAGAAACAGGGAATTTTCACATTTGATATAATGCCTTTTTTTTCACACCACAGCCTTCAAAGTCTGTTATGAGCATTTTATGTGTCAAACTATTTGAAAGGAAGCCATAATTGTCAAATGAAAAGAAAATTGTGTTTGCAGTTTACAATTGTTTCAAGTCTTGCCACAGAAACTGGACTTTGACTGAGCCATTCTAACACTTGGATATGCTTTGATATTAAAAAGCAGCATTGTGTTTTAATGATGTCAGAAGATGGCCTGGATTTGGCTATCATCTACACATCTCAATGACTTTTCTGACATATGTGATGTGAGGTAGTCAAATATCCATTGTCAGGCTCGTCTGAATCCCTTGTGGGGAGATAAGAAGGGCAAACGGTCCCCTGAGGTCTGAGCATCGATCGAGTACCACATTAAAACTTAAGCTGTCCGTACTCAAAGGACGTAGGTCAGGCCACTTTCTTGGACTCAGCTGCTCATGTAAAAGATTTCCGTTACAAAAGCCTCTGACCAACTGAGCTCCTCTTCATCTCTGCTCTGCAGTTCAGTGGTGCCGAGGTGGAGAAGATCAAGCAGGCAGTGGGGACATTTTGCAGTAACCAGCCGTTTGCACTGGAAATTATCAAGACCAAGCAGAAGAAAGATTCGAGGTTCACCTCATTCATTCAGGTACTCGTGATGCGTCTCACTACATTGTACAGGCATTTTTTCCCCAAAATATATTTTGCTGTGTAAGGACTTTTATTTATCTATTTTTTAGGAGGCAGAGAGTAACAGACAGTGTCGAAGACTACAGCTAAAGGACATGATTCCTGTTGAGATGCAGCGGCTCACCAAGTACCCCCTGTTGTTAGACAACATTGTCAAATACACAGGTGCAGTAATGCTGACGCAGGTTTTTTTGTTCATGTTCTAAATAGGTTCTAGTCTGTGGGTTTATGGACTGTTTTTCCTCTTCTAACTGGATTTGGTAAATATTTAATTAACCAAATTGCGGTAATTTTATGTTTTTGAATAGTTTTGATTAGTTTAATTTGGGATTATTATGATAAGTGAAGAACACAAATTGCCAGTTTGGACCAGAAGATTGTTTAGAAAACTGTCAATTGATGTCCATTGTGGTCTGTTCTATATCTAGTAAAGCTGTTTCTTCTTTTAGTCCACTAGTAGAGTCAGAAATGTTCGTATTAAGAAACTGATATGAACATTTGGCACCAAAAACTGTTGGGAGCTTTTATATGTGAGATCGAATAGGAATTGGACTGAAATGTTTATATTTTGGCAACAAAAATGGGGTTAAAATTGAGCAACATGTTTGGAAATTAATATTTGGATGATAGTCAGCTCCTGTATATTAAAGTTCTTACTGTTTTATGACTCTTCACCAATACAACTGATATCCTGTTGATAACACTGGTGTACTATATATTTGCAGGGTTATGTAGTGCTCATTTTGATAAATGTACCAAACAGAGTTTAAAATGTAAAATTTGATCACCTGAAATATTTCTTGCACCAATTCTGCCCACTTTCAGCTTTCTTGGATTGTCCAGGTTTTTCTCCCGTCATATTTAAATCAATCAAATTCTCTAAAATGGTAAATCCAGCATAAAAAAAACAAGGAAATGTTTATTTAAAAATTTTAATACAGTATAAAAAGTGGTTAATATTGAAAACCAGCTCTTGAGTTTCAGTAAAGTGGTAATAAATGACATTTTGTTGCAACACACCGACTATTAATGAAGTACTGAGACTAGGAGACAGATTATCATTATAATGGTCCTGCACAGTGAGTTCACAGTTCCGGAAATGGGGCACCAATTATTTGGGCCATCATTTTATTCTTAGCAAGAGTTTGGGTCTCACATGAGGAGAAAGCCTTAATGATAAAATATGACCAGCTCTTATAGGCACATAATGCCTCCCGTGCTTTATTATATTTTCTAAGAATTATGTGTCCATTAATACTCTCTGTGTTAATGGACACAGGAAGTATTAATTAAGCTCCCCAAGGAACCAGAGTCCTTACTGCTTGATGTCATGATATTTTTCAGACGATCCAATGGAGAAGCACAAAGTTAAGCAGGCAGCAGACTGCTGTAGAAAAATCCTTAGTCACGTCAACCAGGCCTTAAAAGAGTCTGAGGACAAACAGGTGGGTTTTTGAAATGCGTTATCATGTTAAATTTTCTTCATGTGTTTCCTTTAGATTCCTTATTTGGAGGAAGTTCTCCATATAGCAGTCTTCTTTAGCAAACCACTTACTCATCCTTTTTTTCTGTTTATTCCTACAGAAATTAGAGGACTACCAGAGAAGACTGGACCTCTCCTCTCTAAAGCAGACAGACAACCCAGTGATCCTCGAGCTAAAGGTGCACTTGTTTATCATCCAGCACCATGTGCACTGTGAAACATGCACCGGATAAAACCATATGAGTAATAGATCCACAAACCTTAAAGCTCACCTACTTATTTTTTCTGCTGTCCATCTGTCAGAACCTGGATTTGACCAAGAAGACACTGATTCATGAGGGCTCTCTGTCATGGAAAATGAACAAGGACAAGACTATTGGTTTGCACTGATTGTTTTTTTTTTAATACATTTAGATATTATCATGCTCTTCATAGCCACCGCAGTGTAACTCTACTACACCAATGCGTATGTTTGAAAGTGAATAGATGCCTTGTGTCTTTCCCTTTCAGAGCTGTACACGCTCCTCCTGGAGGACATTCTTGTTCTGCTACAGAAACAAGACGAGCGTCTGATCCTAAAATGTCACAGCAAAATCCTGGCAGGCACCCCAGATACAAAACATACCTTCAGCCCCATCATTAAACTCAACACTGTTCTGGTGCGCTCTGTGGCTACAGGTCAGTTTATAATTTCCCCGGACTCTCTGCTACTGAAATTTGTGGGAACAGTCCTAGAACTTGTGTAACTGCTCAACCTTATAATAAGAGATCGGTATCTGATGGTTTATGTCTGTTGGATTATTTTACGTTTTGGCACTTTATAAGATAAACTTTAAAAGATTTTATTGAGATTAAATGTGGTAGACAAGCAAAATGTGTGAGCAAAGTAGTTATTTCAGCTCCTTTGAGTCACTACTTGCTTGAACCACCTTTTGATGCAATTACATCTGCAGGTTTTTAAAGAGATTGAAGAAGAAAAAAAAAAAACACCCAACAAAAACAATTATGTTCTGTGGTTGTAAATATCTTTGCAATTTATTGTCTAGATTTTCACTTAAGCTCCTGTGATAGAAACATAAAGAATGTAATTTTAAAGCCTCTGTTGTCTCTCTCCTGCCAGACAACAAGTCCTTCTTCGTTCTCTCCATGTCTGACAACGTCGCACAGATCTACGAGCTCATGGCGCCCACAGTCTCAGATCAGAAAACGTGAGTCCAGTTTCTTTGCGATGGATTCGTTTGACATTTTTGCCACGATTGTTTATCTTACCGAAAAGTATTTTTCTCCCCCTTACACAAGGTGGCAGACTCTGATCTCCCAAAGAGCCGATACCATGAAGGTCAAACCACACAGCATCATCTCGTTACCTCAGACTGAGTATGCTTCCTTCTCGCTTTGTAATCCAGTCACATCAGATCGCTACCAGGGTTTCGACTTGTTACAGAGCTAAGTTTCTGTCTGTGTGGGTGTCTTAGTGGGGAGAGAGACGGCGTGGAGATCATTACTGCAGGTGTTTCCAGACTGAGCAGAGAACGAGACCGCACATCCACTGGCAGCACGCAGTCCACAGGTAACTGAAGCCGCTCGTTTCTACTGCCCATCTTGGAAAACATTTCCGTCCACACTGCAGCGATGTAACTGCAATCATTCATCTTTAGATAAAGAGAGTGGCCCGGCCTCTAGAAGAACCCTGCAAGGTTCTCTACCTGCTGGTAACCCATTTGAGGAAGTGAAAGCAGACATAGAGGAAGAGGAAGGTTTTCTGGACCCAGAGCTTTCGTGTGAAGTATCTGAAGTTGACAGAGAAGGAGACTCGTTCGATTTGTTCCCCTTAAGGGCAGACGAAGCACTAAAAACATGTAAGTCCTCTGGATACATAAGGAAATTAACTTGCTGAGCTCTTAAATTACAAAACCAGTCATTACTACTTGTTGGTTTCTTCAGTGGCCGCATTAAAGCAAGTCCTGGTGAACCAGCTGATGTCCCAGGAGGCAGCACAACAAACCAAACGTTCCACGGGAGTCCGTCTCCTAAGAACCACCTCTTTGCGGACGCCGACAGACAACCGCGCAAAGGTGATGGTTCACAACGGCTCCGAGAAGAGCAGCTCCAAGGCAGAGGACCTGACTCAGGACCTGGGTTCAGGGGACACTGGATTCTTTGATTCTCCTGAAGACTATGGTATGCACAAGGAAGAAGAAGATTGTTAAAAAAATAAAAAATAAAAAACGTGTTGGGAAATTCTCCACAGTAGATCATTTTGATTCTGCCTGCAGGATGTTTAGTCCTGGAGAGTTACGGAGGACAAGAGGAGAGCAGCACAGACGACGACATCCTGGCATCAACCCAAGGGAAACAGCTGAGGACCTCACAAGGCTGTGTGGCCGACTCCGGCATCAATTTGAGATTTTCTTCAACGTCACAGTTCGGCAGCCTCTCCACTTTCAGCAGACAGGTGTTGTCTCACCTTAGACATCTTCAGACCAGCCTCGGCTATTTAAAGGTACTCAAGATTACTCGTCGTTCTGCATTTCCAGCTCCTCATTGCTTCATTTAATCCTGGGTTCGCACACAGATTTAGAACGTTTGAAAAAAGTGTTATCCAGGACTGTTTCAGTATGGAGAAAGTTTGTGTTTCCAGACTGTACTCTCCATCTGAATTAGATAACAATGCAGTGTTCTATTAAAATAACAACAAATAGATGATGTATTCTTCCATCCATCTCGCCTTCTATTCATCCATCAATCTTCCTAACAACTAACTTCATTATTTACCAGTCTATCATCTAGCTGTTCTTCCATCCAATTGCTCCATCCTGTTTGTTTGCTCGGAAATAGCCTGATACCTGTAAATTTGAGTGTCTCAAAATATCGACCTGAAAAATGTGTAGGAGCCTTGAACCTTGTCTAATAGTAGGTCATAGACAAACATAGTTTGACATAGCCACACCTTTTCTTCCCATTTTATAGGAAGTTGAGACCAAGTACAATAATCTAATACGCCAAAGGATGGACAGGTCATCCACAGACACAGATGGAAACAAAGGTATCCACTTTTAAGCGTAAATCTTTCACTTTGAACCATTTCTGTTTGCCCCTTTTCTAATTTTCCATTCAATGTTGTTTTTACTCAGATAAAAGATAGTGTGGATGTCAACGCCGCGGCTTTTGACTTTGGTACCATGGAAGAAGTACCGACTCGCCGTCTGTTCTTTCTTCTCGAGTCCCGGACTTTCTGGACGTCGTATAAGCTTGTCCTTTGACTGCTGAGCTCTTCTTTTTTTTTGTCCTTCACCCACAGCCTCCGCAGGGAATAACAGACTTAAGCGTGAAGCAAAAGGTTTTGAAGGGAGAATTCATTGGTGTGGTGCCATGCCATCCCTTCTCAGCACAAGGCGAACAGGGAAGTGGGATTGCCCCCCGAAAACCTCAACCCCTCTCTACCATTGAACACCAAATTTTTTCCCTCTAAACTCCCTGCAAGAGAGAGAACTTATACCAAAATGTACAAAGATGTGTGTTTAGAATATATATATATGAAACACAAACAAGAAAAGGAAAATTTTAAGATAATGTATTAAGATTTTTTTTATTCCCAAGATGTATTTATTTTCTTTCTTTTTTATTTTATTTTATTTTTTTTTTTAAGTGTTTCCCAAATTGTTTGCATGCTTTTGGCCATGGCGTTACCTTTTTAGCTGCTTATCCTGGTCGGGTCACACGGTTGGCAGTGACGTAGACCCTATTTGTAGTGCATATATCCTGACTGATAAAGGCCAGAGTTGCACTAGTGATGGATAAATCCAGTGTATTAAAACTCCTGAACATTGTTAAAGTGTGGAATTTAACACAAATTCTAAGTCTGGTGTTAACTAGAATGAAGAGTTTCTAGGCTCTGATCTGGTCCTGTTGCATTTCTGTGCTGATTCCTTTCTTTCCCCTCTTAGTCTTTTCTCCTTTTGTGTGCGTGACTCCCCCTCTACCCCCCCGTGAACGTTTTTGGGTGTCATCTCTTTCCTCTTTCAAGCAGCCGAGTGGCGCTCATGCTTATTTATCCCTTCCCACACTCTATATGTCATGCTTCCTGTTGTGCCTCTGGTTATCTTGCTCTGGTACCCTCTCCTACAAGGAGCGGTCATGCTCTCTCTGTATCAGCTTCTGACAGAAATGCTGCTTCCTTCTGCTACTGTTGGTGATACTGATCTGACTGCCCACATTTTCTAATAATGTCATGAAGTTCATCATATAGTGTACAATGATCAAGTTGGAAGGTTATTCATAACGTTACGAAATAAAAGGTGCCGTGACACATTGAAAAAGAAGTCAAAAATATTTTCTTCCTTGTTTTCTAGCTGGTTCTTATATTGGAGTGATCGAGCATCCGGTAATAATATTTGAACAGTTTTGCATTTTGCCTCGGTTACAACAGCAAATCTCAATGTAATTTAGTCAGATTTTCTGGAATAACATTGGGGATAATTGTCAAGTGGAAGAATAGGTATTTGATTTTACGTAGATAAAATCAAATCTATCTGAAACAACTTTGCAAAACAACATTTCTCTAATTATAGGCGCAATGCTTTTGGGGTACATCTATCAGCTTTGCCTATCTAGAAGTAGGATTTGGGAATACCAGTTTTGAGATCTTCCTGCAGATTCTCAATTCCATGCATGTGTTTAGACTTTGACTAGGCTACTGTTATGCACTAAATGGATTGATGGATTGTTTTGAAGGATGAGCCTTTGCCCTGGTATCAAGTCTTTTTTTTATTGCTAATTACAAACCTTCTCCTATAAATCTCCATACTTCCATAATATCTGACCTATTGCTGCTAAAGAAACATGAAACCACATCATAATGCTGCCACCACTATTTTTGATGTGCAGTACTTGCTTTCCTCTGCTGATAAGATTGAGGATTTTGTATGAATTAAGTTCATTTTAGACTCATCTTACCAGAACTCTTTCTTCTACATGTTTGCTCTGTCTTATCATATCATGTGTCCTATGAGCTTACGATACAGTTTTTCTTAACGTTCCCTGACAAACATCTTCACACAAGAGCCAATTATACCGGGAGAAAAGTATAGACAGGAAATCTTAATTTAAGAAATCAGTGGCATAAAATGACAACGTGTGGAAAGGTTCGAGGAGTGTGAGGTCATGCTCATTGTTACTGACCTATTTTATTTATAGAATTATTTTTTGCATAACATCTTCAGTGACAGGAAAATAAAATATGATGGGCTGTCCTAACTCTTAGAAAAATACTGCTCTGCTGAAGAATGTCTTGTTGTTGGTAAAATTACTGATTTTAATCTAAATCAGAGAACTATTCAGATAGGTTTCTCATCTATTGGTCGTCAAGTATTAATTACAGAGACTATTAAATTAACAGACATTGCTAAGCCTATTTAATTGATCAGATTGATAATATAGTTTCCTTAGCTCACAGTGGGATTTATCACCATTGTAAAAGACATGTCTACAAGTTATCATGTATCAATAGGCTACATGTTTTATCTGCTATCCTTATGTATATTGTGTATGTATATACTCCATGTCCAGACGTCTTCATACAATAGCCTTCGACACCATTTCAATGATCCATTGTCTGTGTTTGTCCTTGTGGTGTCTCATCGGGGCTGGTGTCTGTCTCCAGCAGTCATTAAGTGACAGGACAGGTACACCTGGGACAGGTTGCCAATCCATCTCGGAATGACAGAGAGACACAGGCCAATCAACAATATACCTGCTGTAAAAAAAAAAAAAGCATCTTTTCAGGATGATCTGCCTCCACTATGTTTTACAGTATCATAGTTTATGTCCACTAATGAGGCAGCAACATGGTTTTCCTCGGCCTTGTATAAATCTGTATTGGTTCTCTTGATTCAAAATTTCAGCTCCCGACATTTTCTTGTGACATATCAAAGAGCTTTTATTTATTTATTTTTGTTTCTATTTAACAGAATTCTTCCTCTTATTTATTTATTTATCTATTTTTTTTTTTTTTTTTTTTTTGCTTTTTCATTTACATAAAAAAAACCCAGCACAAATCCTAGCTGGAAAGATGGAATTTAATCTAAAATGTGGTGAAAATTAACAAGTTTGTTTTCACCTCCAAGTTACTGTTCCAAGTCGTAAAACCCAGATGGGAAAATTGAGCTAGTTTTTCACTTAGTGGATAGGAAGCAACTCATTTGTTTAGTTGTGTTTGTTTGGTGGTGAGGATTGCTACATGTTAACACTAATTTTAGATGCACTTTTTCCGACTGACAAGTCGGACTTTCCCCAGTTCCGAATACAACTGCAATGCAGCATATCGCTCAACATTTGCCCACGTCTCTGCTTGAAGGCGCCTGAGTTCCTTGAGCTGGTCATCAGCAAGCTCCTGCAGGATTGGTGACAGGCTCAGGAGTCAGCTATTAGAGACGTATCGGAGCAGGAGCTTATGTAAAACGTGCAGGGCACCGTCCCTTCAAGAACCAGGATTGCTCTCCCCTGCTCTACCTCTTGTGTAAATCTAAAACCCAGTGTTTGTGGGAATTAAGTTATTCTAAAGTGTGGGTGAAAAACGGGTTCAGTTTCAAAGTACGACTCCTTTCAATACTAGTTTTCTGGAGGGTTTTTATTTTTAATGTTTTTTGTGCAGTGCTGAGTATTCCTTCTGTTTTTGCATGTACTGTGTAGTACTTTGACTGACATACTGAAGGAATTAAACCACTTAATTCAGTTGTAGTGAAGTGAGGAAACAGCCAAAAGTTACAAGAGGATGCATGACTCCTCTGGTGTTAATGCTAAGAACATTTGTCTTAGGTAGGTATTTAATACTGATATGTACTTTGTACATACCAGTCACCACCATCTTCGTAGAGGTGAGAATCTATGTTTATTGCATTGTCAAATGAATAATTTTCTGATAGAAAATCAAATCTTTTTGAAATTTCCTGGGTACATATTGGACTTCATACTCCAAAGCTGACATATCAGACTTCAGATGTTTCTACAATCCCATCTGAGGTGTCAGATTATCTTTCTTCAGATTGAATTTTACAGTTATTACATTTCATTCTAAGGCAAACAGAAGACGGTATGCATTTTTTATTCAGTGTAGACTTGACTTTGGCTCTGCAGACGCATATTGTATAATTGAAGTTGCTATGCCACATAATTTGAACAGAATAGTTGCAATCTTTTTTTTGTAGATTGCAATTAATGGTTCGGTGTGAGAGCTTACCTTGATATAATCCAAAATAAATTTTAATTGCATTCAGAAACTGAAATATAGAGTTTACTACCCAGATGTGTTTCAAGCATTTGTTTATCTATAATTTTGACTGAATGCATAATCCAAATGATGTTTTACATAGAATAATGCATTTTAAAACAAGAAAAATGTTGTCCTGCTTTTATGTCTGCTTGGGCCTCATTTTGCATTTTGAATTGCTATGTCAATGCAGCATTGTAGAAGGAGATCAATATAAAGCGCCGAGGTGTTCGTAAAGACGCATGCGGACCAGTTTTGCGTGGCCCACAGACCTATCCTAATGTGTTCAAGAAAACATGATAGGCTCCCTTCAAAATTTCCACTTAGAATCTAACTTTGGACTTGACGGGGAAAGAAAAAACAAACAATGGAACATCATCAGCAAATGATCCTACGAAATCATCACTGGCTGTGGAAGCTGAATCTTAAGCAATTCGGATTCTGTTCCTTTCCACTCTTCACACAATTTGCTAACCAAGCAACTGTGTTGGCAGATAATGCGGTCAACGTTGGACTGCACTTCATCTTGCACCACCACCATCTACTAGAGATATATCCTATTTGTGGACTTCATCTGTGCCGACATCCACTTGTGTGCAGATCACCAGCTTCCGGACTGACCAGTAGCAACATCTTTTCCTGGAAAAGAACCATCATTTTAGATGCCCCCCAGGCTTAAGTTTGCTCTCTGACGTTATTAGAGGAGAGTAACGAGTCTGCATACTGACAGGAGGCAGATCAGGTGGTCCAGTGGTGTGGTCAGAACCCCCTGGAACTCAAAACCCCTCAAGAGAGTGGAGATGATGGTGGACTTTTGGAGAACACAATTTGCACTCCTCACAATCTTCAAAAACACTGTGGATCACCCCCAACTTCGTGGAACCAACCGTTCTCGGGACCCGAGATGATGCTCACAAATATATTGTTCTGAAAAGGGGCCAGCAGAAACTGTACTTACAGTGGCCACACAAGAAATACAGCCTACCACAGGAGCAGCTGGTTATCTTTTACACAGCCATTAGTCAGTCTGTCCTGTGCTCATCCGTCACTGTGTGGCTCTCTCCTCTCAGGACTTGTACAGATCTATGGTCAGGAAAGGGGCAGCTAAAGTCTGTGTTGTCCTCTCACACCGGGAGCAGAAAGAGTTCAGACTTTTACCTTCAGGTCAGGGTTACAGAGCTCTAGCTGCTAAAACCAGCCGCCTTTCTGATCAACACTTAGAAGTCAGAGTGTCCAGATTGATACTATACATTTGCACTGGTTTTTAAAAAAACAGTGCAAATGATTTTTTTGCACTGTGTGTATATAATACATATTTGCAAAAAAACAAAAACATAGTACTTTTTTACACATGCGTATTTAAAATGTCTCCTTTCATAATAGAGTAATATGCCACTTGATGATGGATGCCAGAGAAGGTGATGTTGATTACCAGCAGGTGGCAAACTTCCACCAT